AACCTGCCACGTGGCAGGGGGGGGTGTGTCTGCTCTGGCAGCCAGGAACGGGACCTGCTACATGGGGGGGTGTCTGCTCCAGTGGTTGGGAACAGGACCTGCCGCATGGCCAGGGGAGGGTGTGGGTTTCTCTTCCGGCGGCTGGGAACGGGACATGCTGTATGGTGGGGAAAGGGGAGGGTCTGTTCTGGCAGCTGGGAACGTGCGTTAATAAATTGGGTGCCACGGCGGTGCACATCCAATCAGCGCACGTGACCTCAATATTGTTGCACAAGCCAAAGCTCACTCTGCTTGTGGTTGGAAAATCTTGGAGGGAACATTGACTGGGAGACATCTGAAACTGGGGATGTTAAAATGAGTTTATTTAGGTAAACCTTTACGTGGGGGGGGGTTACAGGTGTACCAGCTCCCCTCTCCCTTCGGCGCGTTGCTGCCTCTGATGCAGAGGCAGCGCCTTGGGTGGTGTGTGCAGAGGGCTGCCTGTAACCAGGCATGTTAACTGGTGAGCCCTGGCTGATCAGTTAACTGTGTCCACAGGTACAAGCTCACGTCCCTATTTGAAATGCTGCCTAACTGAGTGCTGGATAGCAGAGCTTTTACTATACCACACCTTTCTCCTGGGATTGCAGCAAAGGGGCCGTCCGACTCAGCCAAACACCCAGAAGTGCGAGGAAGAAGCTCAGAAAGTAGCTACATTGGTTTTTCCATTCACTTACTAAAATTGAGGTGGCTTAGAGAGCAAAGGTTTTCTTGCAATATGTAAACCCCGAAAGGGAACCAGAAAGACGGGGGACTGAGAACGCTCATTTGACTGAAGTAGCAGCAAGGGGTCGTGGAGACACTGGGAATTGCATTGATATTTGTTTTTGGTTTTTTCACGTGGACCCTCTGTTCCTTAGTGATCTGCATTTGGCACAGGAGGGACAGGCAGTATCCACTTTGTTCTGGACGTTGATGGACTCTGTATGGAAGTGAGCGTTAGGGGATGGTGTCCGCAGTGCTAAGCTGCTTGGCGAGGAGAAACGGAAGGAACTAACCCCCTGCTGCATGGCAATGTGTTCCTGGGGGGGACATTTAAAAATGCACCTGGTCATGATAGGCCGTGGCTAACTCAGAGCGAGAGAGTGCGTGCGCACGTGTCCTTGTACTTTTCACTCTTGAAGTTGTTCGTCCTGAGGTGGGAGTGAGGTCACTGAAACATGCTTGTTTGCTTTAGGTCCAAGATGGCAAATCTGTTTCTTCACTCCCTGCAAACACTATTTAGAAACTGCAATTTCACTTGCTTCTGTTTCCAGATCCAGTAGAGCTACCCCCCTTTTAGTTTTTAATTTCAGGAGCTTAGCACATCGCTGAAAACTGTCTGTCTGTGGTTATGGTAAAAGAGGATGTTTCTCTGAAGGGTTTACACTTGCTCAGTCAAAGTCGGTGTGGTTAAATTAGAATTTGAAAACAGCAACAACAGTTGAAACACACTCTGTTACCTCTACTTCCCCCTCGAACACACTTGACTAGCATCTGTGTTTTAAATTCAGTTTTGTGCATCCTAAGAGAAAACTCATAGTGGTGGAAGAACATGTGTGTGACTAGCATGGAGTGACAAGAATTAAAACATGTTTGGACCTGGTAGGGAACTTCTGCAGAAAAAGGCTTTAGGTACATGTTGACAATTATTTTAAGTACAACCGACTTCTAATGTGAAGCAAGATTTAGGTCGAACGGTATAGATACGAGATAATGAGACTAGATCTGGGTTAACAAAGTCAGTTGCTTCAACCATCATTTACTTTATTTCCCTTTCAGTTTGACATCTCTGTCTATGAAAATTACTACGTGCCTACTGCGAGCCTTCCCAAGCCGCACATCAGCCCTATTCTGTCTCCATGGGAATATTACCGTCTGCAGATTCCAAATTGAATATGACAGCTCTTCTTGCTGGGAGAAGTACAATTTACATTGGTTTCATCCAAACGCCTCTCATTACGTTTTGCAAAGGGGGAATAGCAAAAGCCCAGTCGTTGTATTAACCGTATCATTTGTATAAGGTTCATTGGAATTCGTGTTCGTGTGTGTCAGTCGCACACCAAAGCTTTTGCTGATACTCCCAGGGGAAAACGGAGACATAAGCACCTCTTTCTGGCCTTGTCTCACACCTGCCTGCCCCAAACACATGCTACACCCATTCGTGTTTGTGTAGCAGGGAGATTGTGTCTCGATTGGCCACATTTTCTCTGCTTTCACTCTCTGATCATATCATTTGACCTAGAGCAAAGCTTTCCAGGTAAAAGGCCAATTTGGCTTCTGCCAACCACCTCCAACTAATTCACACTGATTTATCTCTGCTGTATGGAAACCTGGGCATAGAAGCCTCCACCCCAGGCATGGTTCTGCATACACTGGTTGCCCTGTGCACAGTGACGAGCGCTGCTGTTTGCATGCTCTCTGTGCTCGATCGATGTGCCTCTCTGCCCCCAAGTGCTGCTGCCCTGGTGGTGTTACTTTCTCCCCCTCTCTGCGATACTGTGCTAGCTGTAGGATAAGACAGACACAGCACGGTATGAAATTGACATGCTAATTCTCCCCAGTGTTGTGCCTTGGGTCTGCATGAGAATTTGAAATCCTCTTGCTATCATTCCCAGGACTTATCTCTTATAAACTGGTGCTGTCCTCCAAACTTTGGACAGGTATTTGCATTTTCCTCTGAGGTGGCACGTTCTTACTGTTCATACCAGATATGGAGTGGAATGGTTCACTGAAAACCAAGCTCAAATGGGAAAGATGAGGCTGGCTCTGAAGGAACACGCTATCCATGTACCACACTAGTAAGGAAAAGTCACTCCGACCTGGGATCTCAACTCTGTTCTTGAGCTAAGGAAGTTAAAAGAAGCGCGTGACATGGGGCCCTGGACGCTGTGCCGTTTCATTGTGACACTGGCGTGCGGTGGTGGAAACAGCGCTGTGATTCTGCGTGTGGAATTCAGGGAGGTTGCATCTGTGACCTGATTTGGACAGTTACTTTCCAGAATCCAAACGTCAATTTGACAAGCCCTTGTGGAAGTGGAGGAACCGTCCTGCTGTGGTGGGGAACTTTTCAGGCTTATACGCTAGCCTGGTGAAATTGACCAGTCCTCACTCCCACTCCCTTTCTCCAGATGTGCCATGGGCGGGGGGCAGCACCAGCCTGACCGCACTGGGCAGAGGGATGCTTGGGCCAGGCTTGGCGGGAGCACCCCCTGCCCATGGTGTGGCATGGCTGGCACAGCCCGGCCTGCTTCAGGTGCGGGGCTGCTCCAACCCAGCCAGGTCACCGGTTAACTGGCTACCCGTAAGCATCACCCAGTTAGCGAGTAACCAGTTGACCCTTTACATCCCCAGTGGCAGCTCTGCCTTCAGAGTGGGGTGCCTGGCCAGCAGCCACCGCTGTCCCTCTGCCCAGCTCTGAAAGCAGCGCCACGGCCAGCAGCAGCACAAAAGTAAGGGCGGTGGTACTGCCCCCTCCCCTCCCTACAGTAACCGTGTCACCCCCCACAACTCCTTTTGGGTGAGGACCCTACAAGTTCAACCCTGAAATCTCAGATTTAAACAACTGAAATGCCATTGACAGTCCTATGACTGTGAAATTGACCCAAATGAGCCAGGACTTTGGTAGGGCCCTAGTGATGCTCCCTCTCCAAGTGAGGCCTGAAAGTAGTCTCAGCTGGGGATTCTCCCTATGCCGGGCGTGGGGCTGCTTCCGCCCCAGCTCTGCTCTTCTCCAGTGCAGCTGCTGGTCCTCCATGGGAGCTGGAGCTGCCTGACCAGAAGGTCCAACAGTCCCCTTTGGACTAATGCACTGGGCGAAAGGGGCGTTTCCGCAGGGTTTCTTTTGAAGGCATCCTAGACTTCCTCCATATTCATTCCTCTTTATCACCAGATCGTATTGCAACTCCTGGTCTCGATCCTCTCTGAAATCACCGACATTGAGATGAATGCTTTTTATGGTTGCAAATGGGACTCCTGGGAAGTCCAGGTGCAGCATGTTACTGAAGATCTCAGGCCTGCGAGTGGAAGGAGAAGCCCCAGTTTTATTTAGCTGGTTGGTGATGAATCATTTCTCATGATCCATTGTGCTGTTGGAAACTGATGAGGAGCCTAGCACTTGTATTACTGTGGTCTGGGCAGGGACCGCATTGAAACCTGCCCTGCGCATGTCAACTCCTTGCTTTGCCTTACTGGGCTAGGAGGCCAGCGTGTCTCTACTGTGGGGTTATGCTGGGGCTGGATTCCGATGATGTAAATATGATGCGATTTCTCTTGGCCACTACTTAGGTCCTTTCTGTTGCAGATGCAGGGTTGGGGGAATGGCCACATATCTGTAAGAGGCCCGTGGGAGGGGAGTGCCAACAAACAGGTGTATCTCTGGGCCCTGTTTCTCTCTTGTGATCTGGTTTGATGTGATGTGATGGCTTTCAAGAAGCAGGCTGGGCGCTCCCATCTCTGATCCTTGAGTCTCCAGTGGAAGACTGTCCGTTCCTTACAGGAGATCCCGTGTGCTTTATGTATAGAAACTAGACACCCCTTCCTTATAGGGCCATACTGTTCCAGGGTAATGCTGCCGCTACCCCAGGGCATTCTGCTGCTCTGCTTTGTAAGCAGTGGGTGCTCATCCTTTCCGGTTTGCTCGCTAAAAGGCCTTCCGTGTCTGCACGCTTCTGCTCAATTCTTCTCCTGGAATATTTCATGTGAAATTGGGCCCCTTCTGAGCCTGAGCTGGGTTGTCTCTCCCCTGTACACGTCAGCCCCATCCTGCAGCAGCTGGCTGATGGGAAGGGCTGCCTTCGTGTTCCGTGTATGCCAGGAGCGTCTCAAGGCTCCGTCAGGTTACGATGACCTAACTTGGTTTCTTTCAGACGGGGCAGGAAGGCAGGGAGGGGGTGGGGGGCTCACATATCCGACCTGGCCAGGGAGGTTTCAGGTCCTTTTTCAGGCTTGCTAGTTTCTAACTAGTGCTGTTTCTCTTCCAGATGACCGGGTTGATCAGCGAACCTGCCTTATCTGTGGAGACCGAGCTACGGGCCTGCACTATGGGATCATCTCCTGTGAAGGCTGCAAAGGGTTTTTCAAAAGGAGCATTTGCAACAAGCGGGTTTACAGATGCAGTCGGGACAAGAACTGTGTCATGTCACGCAAACAGCGAAACCGATGCCAGTATTGCAGGCTGCTCAAGTGCCTCCAGATGGGGATGAACAGGAAAGGTAACGAGAGTGAAGCTGCTGCACTTGTGCCTGGGGGGGAGGGGGCGCACGTGCAAGGGCGGGAAGGGGGGGAGACGTGTGCACACAGAGCCATTGCTCTCTGGGAGCTGGTGGGAAGGTTTTGTCGTTGACTTTTTTTTTTTTTGATACCTTCAGAAAGCAACCTGGTGGGTTTCTTTAAGCAGTCAGTTATAAACTAAGATGACTCTCTCTCTGCTCCCATGGGGACTGGATGCCGCCTTCTCTTGTAACTGTGGTTTGGTACCAAAGGCAACACTGGTCCAGTTGTCTAACAGTATTTGACAACAGCGCTTGTCAAACGACTCTCCTGACCTACTTTACGCTGTTGTGTCGTTTGTCATTGTGGTGACAGTACACACTGTGTCTGCTGGAGGAGGCACTTTGGTTTTAATGCCCAGTTTTCAGGGGTGTGGAATGTTCCCCAAACTACCTGGCTGGGTGAAAGTTCTCAAACCTGCTCTCCTTGCAGAGGGGAACTTTGTGAGAGCATTTTACCGTATTTTCCCCCTTAAGGCTCAGGGATGTATGGGTCGCCGATGTAACTGAAAAAGCCAGTACAGGCGTGCTTTTGTGTCCTACAGGCATTGAAAGCTAATCTAGCTCAGCAAGAAACGTCCTCCCTCCTTAAATATCCTTTGTGGTTTCAGTGGGACACAGCCCTCCTCTTCTGCCTTCAGTCTCAGGGAAGAGAGGCTAGTGTAGACGAGGCCGGGTGTGCTTGCTCCAAACCAGTTCTCTCAACGCTGTGGAGTCGAAATGGGGCGGGGGCTGGGGTTGGGGGCGGACTAGAGAGCTGACATCTTAAAAGTGGACTGTAAAATGGTTTGCCATGATCACTTCCTCAGTGAGGGTAACAGCGCGGCCCCTCTGGGCGTGTTGCCTTCCCCCTTGGGCATGCACGCCAGCGCATTCATGCTGTACCGAGGGAACCAGGATCTGTCCTTCTGTTACTAGAGTTAGGAAAGGGAAGTTTGATTTTTAACGTGTAGCCAAGCATGACGTTCTAGCGAGGCCAAATGTTTTTGGGAAGGGTAGGGGAAGGAATTTTACTACCGTTGCCATTTGCTGGATTACTCCTCCTTGAAACAGTTAAATAACCCTTGAAAAACTGTAGAGACGACAGAAATGTTAGGGACAGTAAAAGATTTCCTGGATCTCAAGAGTGCCTGACTTTTTAATCACAGGCTGTAGTTAGACTATTCTCTAATCACCCCTCCCCTTCCCCCCGAATGTGCCCTTCCATACTTAAAACTCACTTCATGGGATGGCTCTTGTATCATGATAGTTCATGAATCTTCTGCCGCCGTCTGGCCAAGTACAGTTTCACCAAGGAGGGGGATGCAAAGCAGGAGCTCTGTTGTATGATCCCCTCCTGTAGCTGTAGTGTGGAACTCGCTGATCAGGTAGAAAACCTGTCACACTAGCCGCTGCTTTGGTCTGACGTGATTTGCCTCTTTCCTACCGAGGAGAAAATCGGTTTGGTTTGGCTCATGTGGCATTTGTATCGTGCAGCTATTACAATAACGGTGGCACGGTCACAGAAATTAGTCCCCAAACGGGCATCTTGGAGTCAGGAAGTGTGAGCAGTTGGGATACCAGTTGTACAATGGAATATTCACTTGAGACAGTAAATCTACGAAAAGATCTAAACGAAATCTCCTATTTCCTTTCAGCTGAGCATTGACAGGCACCACAGCTCTGAAGTGCGATGCAGCTTCAGAGAATATGCTTCTCATTGTGACCCGGGCCAGCAACTGGGGTGACTGGTGTGTGGCTAACTGGGCTATGCGGAGGCTTTGTAATCTAGGGCACGGATGATGCTGGCTTTTAGTAGTGTAAAGAAGTTTTGATGGGGTGAATTAGCCCATCAAACCCCTCTCTTCACTTGAGAAGGGTTGTTCTGACTCTTCCTCGGAATAAGAATTTATTTTTAAAACCTAACCTGCCTGGTCTGATTTCAGCAGGCATGTGTGTTCTCCGACATGTCCACATTTTGGCCATTTCAATCTTGGGGCCTGCTCTGTTTTAAAATCAGAGGCTTTTTTTTAAGCTGAGCAACAACTAACAGGAAATGGAGTAGGCCGGGGAGGCGGTAATATAGTGATTGTTCAGCTCACTCCTTTGATATGCAGAGGGGGCATTAGGCTTCAGGAGGCAAGTGAGTATCATTGTGGGAGGGGCGGCTTCCTGGATTCAGAAGCTGCAGTGTCATTTCTTTGAATCCCAGCTATTAATTCTCCTCCGACCTTTCCTTGTCGCTCGTGTGAAAGCCCCTCTGCCAACGCGTTCTTGGGTGTTCTTGCAGCCTGCTAACCCGTCGCCGAGCCCCGGGCGAGCGCACGCATGCTGTTTGGAGGGAAGCCCTTTGAGATGTGCCCCGGCCATTTGTGTACATGAAAGATCCTGGGGCATGTTGCTCCGCAGGAGCAAGGGTTGGTCCTGGCTAAAGGCTCACATGGGGGGCTGGAGAACTGGTCGGTTTGCTCTCCTGGCGGGTTTGCTTTGTCCTGCCCGTCCTGCTAGCAATTACAGTGCTGAGTCTGTCCGTGAGTGGCCCCCGCCGCGCCAGCAACACCCCCCTGCTCCAGCAGTGATCAGAGGTGCAGAGTCATGGTTCTCTACCCATTGACCTCCGCTGCTCCTTGCGCAGCCGGCGCGGGGGTTACTGCAAAGTGCTGCAGGCCTCATTCCTCTTAGAGCCCCTTTCCCTGGCCTCCCGCCTCTCCACGTCTCTGCCCTGCAATGGGAGAGGGTCCCAGTGTTCGGGGGGCTCCCGTCAGTTCTGGGGACCCTTTCCTCTGCCTGTGTCTGGAGGGGACAGCCAAGGCGTGACTGGCCTGAGGATCTTCCCCTGTTACGTCCGGGAGGTTAAAGGGCTAATTGCTGTCGGGGGCATTGGCCTAAGTTGCAAATTATCTGATGCAAATTTATGGTCCAAGGATTTTAGATCCTCACAAGAACGTGTACGGGAGGGTTTCTAGTTCAGAAGCATCTAAAAACCGTCCTTGCAAAGGGTGACCTGTGGGCCAGGTACAGGGAGAGCTAGAATTCAGAGCACTTGTTGCAGGGGTGCGGAACCCTTTGGGGGCCACTGACCCACAGAAAAATCTGTCGGGGGCCGCACACGGGGGAGAAGTGAAAAAACCCGTCACTGACGTGGCCCCCGACTGAGAAGCAGGAAGACCTTCCCCCCATTCCCTTCGCGCACCAGAGCTTGGGGGCACCAGGCTGGTGGATTTTGTCTGCTCCAGCTCCGCAGAGAGTGGCGGGGGGTCTGGAGCATCAGTGGGGGCTCCCCAATGCTGCGGGGGGAGCCCCAAGCCTCAGGCTGAATCCAGGCCCCCGGGCCTTAGGTTCCCCACCCCCGTGGTGTTGCATGTTCTTGTTCCATCCCCTTGATGACTTGTTTCCTTTCTCCAGTTTAATGATTGGATTGCTCATTTCCATGCTTGTGCGGGGCTCGCCTTCTCTGTGCCCTTTGCACGGCTTCGCTCCTGAGCAGAGCGGCTCTTTGCACAGCCACTTTCCCTGTTGCGGCCGATGGCCTGGGAGCCGCACTAAGGTGCTGGTGTCCCTCGGGGCTTTGGACACCTTTGCTGCTGCTCATTCAGAAGGAAGCAGCGACATCTCCTGGCCAGCACGCAGCACAGCAGACTGAAATACAGACCAGCCTCCCCTTCTTCCCTTCCTCCTCCCGCGGGGCTGTCTGAGGGGAAACGCAGATGTTCCCTTAGGGTGGTGAAGCGGGGGCGATGGGTAGCAATGTTGTTTAGCTGTTTACGATGCGTCAGGCTGGACGGCTTCTCACCTGCGTGTTTAAAAAACTCCGTAAATTCAGATTGGAGGGGGGATTTCAAACACGACCTGGGGACTTACCAGGTCACCATGCTCCAAGAGAACTGGGGCTCAGCTGTGTTCTAAAATGGCTGGGGGGAGCGGGCAGGAAAAAGTGGATCATTTTGCCCCTGTAAATTCCAGGCTTCTCCTTAGCTCTTAGGTTTCCCCCTGTTCTTACTGCCCAGAAGAGAAGCTACGGCACGACTGGGCCACAGCTGCGTTTCATACTGATGTTTATGTATGTTTTTGTAGGGTCGGCGGGCCCCTTGGCATTCCGCTCACAAGGAGGTTGAGTGGCCATGTCTCTCGGGAAGAGCCTTTCACGGGCTACCTGAGGTCAGGGAGTGCGGGAATGCTTGGAAAGCGCATGTCCTAGTGCCGTGGCTTTCTTAGCTTGTAAGGCAGGAGAGAATGTTGCCCAGGTTAACAGAACCGTCCCCAACACGAGAACCAGCCCCATGCCTCCCTTCGGCGGGGGTAGGCTAGTTCCCAACGGGGAGCATGTCCCGAGGGGTAACAGTCTCCTCAAACTCCTACTTAAAACGTGCCACATAAATGCAGTTTCCAAACACGATCAGACCCCTTGAGGCAGGCAGAGCCTTGTAACGACTCTCGCGTCAGGAACAGGGGAGTCCAATACCGGGGTGCCGAACAGCAGAAAGGCCCGCTGCTGCCGGATGCGCTGAGATCTCCGAGCGAGTCGTATCCGTGAGTACGAAGTATCGCGAGGGCTTCACCCGGCAGCTCTCGCAAGTCCGGGGCCTCTTCTTTAACCCAGATGGGAGAAAAGGTTTGAAAACGAAAGAAGCGAGTGCAGGTCACGCACGTCCTGCGCCATCTGAAATGGTCCACGGCCCATCAGAGCGAGCAGCCACCGAAGCTCCGTACTTAGCCCGCTGGGAGCTGCTGTAAGGCCTGCAAGAGCTGAGACTGGAACCGCAGTAGCCTGGGGATGGTCCTGTAATCAGAGGTGGGTCAGCATTTGAATTCGAGCGCTTCTCCAACATGTCCAAGGGAGGCTGGACGCAACCGCGCAGCGCTCCCCGCAGCAGGCAGCCAGCATGTGAATGCAGGACTGTTCAACCTCTTCTCCCCTCCCCCTCTGGGCACCCTCTGTGAACACGGCGACGGCTCAGCAGAAAAGCCTCTGGCCATCCCGCGGTGCCCTGCCCCAGTGCGCCTGAGGAGTCCCAGGCAGTGACCGGCTGGACCCCGATCCGGATGGCACCTTAGCTGAGCCCCCGAGATTGCAGCCTGGTGGCGGAGCAGGCCCCAGGGTACGGTTGGTAGGAAGCGGGGCTCCTAGGGAGACAGTAGGTTCCACAAGCCGGTCGGAGGGCTGACTGGCGCCACCGCTTCAGCCAGGAGGCGGACAGGGCCCTGCGTGCGCTGCTCGCGCCCGGGGGTCTGCCGCCCCTTAACTCCACTCTGGGCTGGCCTCTCCTCCCTCGGGGGGATGGGAAATGAGTCCCCAGCTGACCCCGGGCTCTGGGCGCTTTGAAACGCTCACTGGCTTACGCCCTGCCCTGGCTGCGAGGCCTGCTCCCAGGTGCAGGGACCCGGAAAGCATCTCGCCTACCAAGTGCCTGAGGAACGACCGCGTTGGGGGACCTCTGTTCAGACAGCCACTGGCTCCTGGGAGTCACTAGGCGTCCCTGGGGCTGCCTCAGGAGTGAGCGCGCCCCACAGCCGCAAGAGGGATGAGTCTCCCACACCCAGCCGTGGCGGCGGTTGGGGCCATGCAGGGGCCTGTGCCCTGGGACTGATCTCAGGGTCCCAGTGCTGAGATTCTCCCCCCCCCGCCCCCACATGAGGGGGTCTTGCGTCTGCTCAGCTTGACAGCACCACCTGTTAGCTCCTCGGGGCCAAGCCAGCCCCTCCTTTGCCTCCCAGGTTAACAAGCTGCGGGCCCCAGGCCTTGAGTCGCTTGGAAGCGTTTCTCTGCCGGCCAGCCCGTCCACTGAACACACAGGGACACGGGAGCCACTGTCCACGAAGAACAACGCAGTGCAATGTCGGGGGAGTTGGACTTCTGTACGGGGGGGGCAGGGACAAATTCTGTGCCTGCCCAAGGCTTGCATTGTGGGGGATAATCCCAGCACCCACATTTCTACACTACACCCCTGGTGTACACACCCGTTTCTATGAGCTGACTCCGGATAAGCACCTTGCTCAATATCACAGCACTGAGAGATGCTTCTAATGCAAACGAGTGTGTTTATTAGCAAAAAGTGCTAGGAAATATGAATATTGGGAACAACGGGTAGTTACATGTACAACAGTCTCAGAATGCTTTCTGGAGACTGGGGGTATGTCTAGACTACATGCCTCTGCCAACGGAGGCATGTAAAATTTGCTACCCAACATAGTCAATGAAGCGAAGATTTAAATATCCCCGGCTTCATTAAAATAAAAATGGCCGCCGCACTGTGCCGGCTCATCTGATCGTTGGCACAGTGCACGAGTCAAGACGCAGCTCGGTCGACAAGGCAGGCCTTTGTTGACCGCTCCCTTATGCCTCGTGAAACGAGATTTACAGGAGCGGTCGACAAAGGCTTCCCTTGTTGACCGATCTGCATCTTGACTTGCGTGCTGTGCCGACGATCAGCTACGGCCATTTTTATTTTAATGAAGCCGGGGATATTGAAATCCCCACTTCATTGACTATGTCGGGTAGCCTGTTTTACATGCCTCTGTCAGCAGAGGCATGTAGCCTAGATATACCCTAACGTCCTAGACTGACTGTAAAGGTTTATCTTACTTCTAAAGTGCCTTGAAGTTTTTTAACCACGACGGGCTGAGGTCTCCTTTTCAAGACCATATCCACACCGCCCATTTGCTTCCTATGTGCAGGGCTCTACTTGTGCTCTTGGAATTCCATTACCTATCCTCAGAGACAGGGTAACCACCTGTGGCTTATTTCCTGTGTCTCTTCCCTGTTGATATCACATCTCTCCGTTGACTTTGTATGTAAATGAGCATTTGCTTATAGTTTTGAATTTGCATCCCAATAGAGAGACCGGTGAATAGACACCTCTGGTCTGTTTTTCACCTGTATGGGGACTCAGACCTTTGCCTGGGCTCTAAGAATGTTTTCTGGCTATAGATGTAACTCTATACAATACCCGTATGTATGTTGCAGTGTGATACTAAAAGCCAGCATGGTCCTGGCTTTCACTAACGAACTCCAATGACGTTCTTTGAGCTGGAATGTTCCTTGCCAGCTGGCATTAAGGGATTTTGGGATCACAGTCTCACAAATTTCAGAGGGGCTTCAGCTGGCAGAAAAAGCAGCAGGAGCATCAGAAAACCTTGGGCACAATGGTCTTTCTCCCAGGCAGGATTTCCTAGCAGTAGAAGAAAGTAGGTTGCAGGAAAAGAGAGGAAGTCCCAAAGAGAAGAGGAACGAGCTCTACATTGAATGTAAAAGTTGTTTGGGGGACATTAAGGGTACGTCTGCACTGCAACACTAGTCCGAAAGAACTTCGCCCACGTCTACATGGCAGGCACTTATTTCAAAATAGTGTCAAGCTGGAGGACTTCTTACTCCTACTCCTGTAACCCTCCTTGTACGAGGAATAAGGGAAGTCAGAGGAAGAGTGCTCCATTTCGAAACAAGTGCTGTGTAGACGCTCTCTATTTTGAAATGAGCTATTTCTAAATAAGATCCACAATTGCTGTAGCTCAGTGGCATAGCTTATTTTGAGAGACGCCCTGCAGTGTGGACGCACCCTAAGAAATACAGCCTCACTATGTAGAACCCTTTGCAAAGGCTTCCTCCTTTTGGAACAAAATTGCTTTAAGCAATCGAACAGCCAGGATTTCAAGTGCTTGCTTCTCGTGAGTCCTTTCCCTGCTCTGGGGTGGGTCAAGGAAACCTGACTCTGTGCTGTAGAAGGACCAAAGCCTCTTGTCTGTTGTGCTATCTGCAGCCGCTGCCCAAAAGGGAGTCAGTTACCACTCTGGCTTTGTCTACACTGGGAAGGTTTGGCGACAGAAGTGCTGTTGACGTGCACAAGTCACAAAAGTAAAAATGGGTCAAACCGTTTTTTCTGCCTCCCATTGTCGACATTTCCTGGCCACATGGCTAGCTCTCCCATCGACTGATAGAGCAAAGCATTGTGGGTGAGCACCTCACCGTGCAGTGCTGTGGGAAGACAGCTGATCCCTGCGCTTCTTGGGATTCCTACGTAGCTCTTTGGGCTCTGCCTGCTGAGGAATGTCAAAGCAGCATAGCAACCTCTCCGGCCCTCCCCCTGCAGCAGCAGAACAGGAGCGTTCCAATGATTTGTTCTTTGTTCCCCAAACGGAGCCACTCACTCAGCTGTCAGGAGCTTTGAAAAGGGAGGGGTGCATGCCGGCAGGGCAGCAGAGATCACACAACACTGAGTGCAGGCATTGTGGGATATTGGCGGAAGCCAGGTCTCTTGATGAGACAAACAGCAGAGACCACCCTGGCTCTTTGTCAACAATAACGGGAGGGGAAAAGACACAAGTCTCTCGTGAGGGGTGGAAGATTTTTGTTGCCAAAACTGGGTGTTTTTCCTGACACAAGTCACATTGCAGTGTAAACGCTCTCACTGTTTTGGCGACACAACCTGCCAGTATAGACAGGCCTGTGACAGGACCCTGGTTTAATCTAGACAGGCATTAGATCTTGATTGTGCATTACCGCACATGGGGCTATACATCCCGGTGCTAATAAAGGGGATGCAGACCCTGCTGTGGAGAACATTGCCGCTTCAACCAGTTATCACTAGTGTTTTCCCTTTACATCTCCTGAGTTTTCAGGGAGTTGATGCTCAGATGGAACTTTTCATTTCCAGGGCACCTTTCAGCCAAGGGTCTGCAATGGCTTTCTACATATTACTTAACTCTCCAGCTGCCCTGCCAGCCAAGTAAATGGTTTTGTGGGTCCCACTGCACGTGGGAATCTAAGGGTACGTCTAGATTACATGCCTCTGCCAACAGAGGCATGTAAAATAGGCTACCCGATTTAAAAATCCCCGGATTCATTAAAATAAACATGGCCGCCGTGCTGTGCCAGCTCAGCGCGCGAGTCAAGACGCGGATCGGTCAACAGGGGAAGCCTTTGTCGACCGTTCCTGTAAACCTCGTTTCACGAGGCATAGGGAGAGGTTGACAGAGGCTTCCCTTGTTGACCGATCTGCATCTTGACTCGCGCGCTGCGTTGACAATCAGCTGAGCCAGCACAGTGCGGTGGCCATTTTTATTTTAATGAAGCCTGGGATATTTAAATCCCTGCTTCATGTCGGATAGCCTGTTTTACATGCCTCTGTCGGCAGAGGCATATAATCTAGACGTACCCTCAGTGCATACACCACCTCTCCCTCACCTGGGGGGAACCTACATACGCTGTCTTATTGAGCAAAATAAAACTCTGATTCAGTGTCCCTGTAAACAGACAGTTTCCTGCAGGCCGGGTGTCCTCTGTGTAACTGTAGAGCCCTGGGGAGTGGTGTTCCTAACCGGTGTTTGGCTCTTCCCTTTCAGCAATCCGAGAAGATGGCATGCCAGGAGGCAGGAACAAAAGTATTGGACCTGTCCAGGTAAGCCGTTTTCACGGTCCCTTATCCAGTTCTCCTCAGCGTGTGCGCCGTGTCTCAGCCGTGAATCGCACGACACCAGAGCACGTTTGTACAAAGCACCGTCATGCTCCTGCAAACGGGGAAAGTGAACCAGTTGTTAAGTCTTCGGAGGGGAGGAAACATCCCTCTCCCGCATGTGGTCTCTGCTGCATGCGGCAGGGTCGTGGACAGCTTGCCCCCGGAAGGGGGAGTTGGGCAGTGAGGCAGGGTGTCAGGACTGCCTTGGAGGTGCTGGATATTTCTCGTTGGGCCATGTGGGGAATTGTACGCCACAGAACCCAGAGAGGTTACTTAGCATCTATGCTGGGGAAGCAACCCGGCCCAGGAGGGAGGCACGAATGAATTTGGTGACAGGCTTCCAGCCACCCTGTGTCATTAGACTGCAGACTGCTTAGGCAGCCGACTGTAGAAGCTCTGCTCTTGCCGGGCTCCCGAGAGACATGACACGGCTCCAGCGGGCCACAGGTTATCAGCTGGCCCCCTGACTGAAATGACAATCTCCGAACTACTTGCTCAGACTGCAGGAGACCTTCTACCCTTCGTAAGTCGAGACGGGCGCTTCAGTCCCTGCAAAGCCCCCAGTAAATCTTGCCGTGTCCATAGCTCCATTTCTTGAGTTGTTGCAAGCGGGGCACCCAATAAATGTCTTCCTGATGGATGGGGCAGTGTGGCCGGAGATGGCTTGTAAAATGCGAGGTAATTTGGCACAATAGCGTCTGCTGCACAAGTGAGAAATGATGGCCATTCTCCAGCCTGCCGCCGGAAAGGCTGCCTCAAACCACTATTTATTTTAATAAAAGGGCTATCGAAAGAGCCTTCCACACCGCTCTCCACGGCTGTGCATCTCTGAGACTCTCCGCTCGCTCCGGCACGGCGCTGGGGTGGGCGGTGGGGAGGACGAGGGCTGCGGAGCAGAGAGCGAAATACCCGAACAGGACTGAGCCCAGCCCAGCTGCTGCTGCTCGCACCCAGAACATTCATTGCAAATGGCACTGCCCGGGCAAGCTCCCTCTGATGGAACCCCGGTGTCTGTAGCGGGGGGGGCTAAACACAGCGTCCCCGGCCCAACCACGCCCCCAGCCGGCTCCGCCCCCGCAAGCTGCTCAGAGAAGCAGTGGGCTGAGCCCGGGGAAGGGCGGGGGAGGCTTTGCACACTGCCCCCACCCCCAGCCCCACCTCGCAGCTCCCACTGATGGTTTGCAGGACAAGCAGCGCCCCACACACTAGACTTGCAGCGTTCAGAGGAACAGGTGCCCCCAGCTGGCTGCTCTGAGCCGTGTGTGAAAGCAGGGAGCCTGGCTGGGAGCCGCCCAGGTTAGCTCCTCCAGCCTAGAGCCTGCCTTGGGCACCCAGCCCTGGGCTCCCCGCTCCTCCGGAGCCCACATAACCCCAACCCTTTCCCAGACGCTGCCCCCCAGTTCCCTGCTCCAGGTCAAACCCAAATCCCCACACGCCATCCTGCCCCAGTCCCAGCCCCCGCCCCCGCCCAGAGCCCAGTGGACGGACAGTTCTAGGAGGGTCCGTTGGCTCACCCAGCTGAGGAGATCGGGGCAGGGTGACCATGGCTGCTCTGGGCCCTTCTCCCTGCCGCCTGGTCTGTTTCTGGAACGTCAGCTGCGACGCTGCAGCCAGAGACCCGCAAAGCAGCGTGGCGAGTGCGTGTTCGTTTGTGCTGTGGCAGCACCCCTGCTCCCCGCCCGCTCAGTGCTGGTGCCCAGGAGCGCTGGCCGGGGGGAGCCAGGGCCTGAGGCTCCTCAGGAGTTCCGGGAAGCACAGGTAGCCCCGGGGGCGGGGGCTGGAGACACGGAGGTCACCCCCGCCTTTGGTCTGTTGCCAGGGCAACGGCAGTACCGGGCATTCCAGCCATGGCTGCTTTGCCTCGGAGCCCGGGTGTTGGCGGCCACGTTCTCAGGTTGTCCCAGTCTCAGGAGGCCACGTTAGTCTGCGTCCCCACAGCCGACGAGGAGTCCCGTGGGGCCGTACAGACTAGCGGGTTTCTTTGTGGGCTGGGGCCCGTGTCGTCGGATGCAAGCCGTGCAGAGCGCCCCCCAGCTGGAGGGAAGAGTTGCCCGTGGAAATGGCGCCTCGTGGAGGGGCAGCGTTTCCCCGTTTCTCGAGAAGCCACAGAGATTCCGTTCGTTCCGGGCTGGGCTTTTTCCTCGAGGACAGTAGCTGGCCCATCAGTTTGTTAGGGGTCTGCCTGGCAGCCTCTAGCGCCTGCTCGGCCTTGCCACCGTCTGCCTGGCTTTGGTTTCTGAGGCCCTGCTGCGCCGTGGGTCTCTGCCCTGAGCCTCCTTTTGCCCCATAAGCTTCTTGCGCCATCTCCTCTTCATGGAGGTTGCGTCCACTGCCCACCCCCTCAGGCGGGTGGGCTGATGCACGAGCCTTCGCCTGCTGCCTGCGCAGAAGGGAAGCGAGCCAGAAACCCCATAGCAGCAAGGGGGTCTCTGGGACTCTCCAAAAGCATCTTGGGTGTCAGCTGCCTGCTCTCCTCCCTCCCCCGGGGTGAGAGTGCCAGCAGCATTTATGGTTGTTTCCAGCGGTCCCTCTATTGAATGCTTGGAGCTCAGTGCACACGTGCTTGGCTTCGCCTGCTGCCTGCGCAGAAGGGAAGCGAGCCAGAAACCCCATAGCAGCAAGGGGGTCTCTGGGACTCTCCAAAAGCATCTTGGGTGTCAGCTGCCTGCTCTCCTCCCTCCCCCGGGGTGAGAGTGCCAGCAGCATTTATGGTTGTTTCCAGCGGTCCCTCTATTGAATGCTTGGAGCTCAGTGCACACGTGCTTGGCGCTGTCTCTTGCTCCGGCGCTGCTCCTCGGCCGGCAGGCTCCAGCCGAGTGGATTTGTGTGCTCCAAGTGTGGGACGGGGGGGGGGGGCTGCCACTGGCCTGCTGGTTGAGCTGTGCTCGTCAGGTGTCCCCAGTGGAATCCATATAGGGCCTAGTGCTTGCAGAAATGTAAGTTACTTCCCTTCTAGTGACTCCAGCTTCTTTTAGCTGTGAGGTCCCAGTCTGGATTCCACTGCCCACCCGTCCCGAAGAACCTCCCGTCACTGCGGGGACGGAAACCATCTCTTTCTGTGTTGAGCTTTCATCTGGCCTCGCGTGTCCCACCTGAAGCGGGGCTGGGGGCCGCTGACCCACAGAAGAATCAGTCAGGGGCCGCACACAAGTGAGGAGCAAAAAACCAAACCAAACAAAAACCCCTTCACTGACGAGGCTCCCAGCCGAGGAGAAAGTCACTCTCCCCCTTGCCCAGCAGAGCCTAGGGGGGCCAGCCTAGTAGATTTGTGTGCTCCCGGTGTGGGGCTGAAGGGGGCTCTGAGCCTCGGGGGCCGGAACCAGACAAGATGGGAGCCACATCCGACCCCCATGCCTGAGTTTCCCCACCTCTGCTCCAAAGAGACCCACGTTAACTTTGCTTTGCTTGTACTGTTACAACTCTGGACAGTCGTATAATTACGCAATCCTTATTTTAAAACAAATAGCTCTTTGGTAAAAAAAGAAAAGTGGGAAAACAATAAGAAATGCCTGGAAGATTGTAAATATGTTTGAATGGTCTCCCCACATAAAAGACCCGTCCAAAAAATTCTAGGTTGTAGTTTTCCATGCTAACCCCAGCGGTATGTGCAGCTCGTCTTGCTTAGTTTTGTACTTGGCTGGGTAAGTGTATCACTAAATGCAATAATTTTTGCCCAAAAGATCTCAGAGGAGGAGATTGAAAGAATTATGTCTGGACAAGAATTTGAGGGGGAAGCAAACATCTCTTGGAGTAACAACGGAGACAGTGACCACAGCTCTCCCGGGAATGGAGTTTCTGAGAGCAACCAGCCGTCACCTGTTTCTACTCCGTCTTCAAGGTGGGAGCGTCCGCTGAAAGAATCGCAGATGAATGTAGCGCTGCTCGCACTGCCCGGCGCGCTGCACTTTGGGTCAGCAGTGAAAAGGAGCATGCTGCATGTTTAACTCGGACGCCGTGCCAATGCCGACCTCTGGGTAAACCTGTTTCAGCTAGAGGCCCACGCGCGGCGTCAGAGCTGTCCAGTGTGATCTGGGGGCGCAATGCTCAGGAACAAATGACAGAAGCGGTGGGCGAAAAGTCTTCCCTTCCAAGTCATCTGTTTTACTAGATGGGCAAACCCGGAGCGTGGTGAACGGATCCTTTCCCTCTCCTTGCTCGTGCTGTCTGCCTGCTCCCGTTCCCTTGTGTTTGTGTGTTGCAATGAGCCAGCGTATCGCTTGTTACTGATTCCCGCCCGCTAGCGTGGTGCAGGTACGGGCGGCAGTGCGCCGCTCGGCGCTCAGCAGGGTGGGCGGGTCTCTGAAGGCTCCCTAGACAGTCCCAGTGCATGGGCGGGTGTGGAGGTCAGACTGGCTGCTCTGCCGGCCCCCTCCCCCCCCCCAGTATTTCACTGGCAGGGATTTTCACCCCTTTCCGTTAACAGGCAGCAGTCTGATTCCCTGCCCCCGCGCCGGGCGAGGGACGGCCCTGCATTGGATGGCCTTTGTCCGGCCTATTAACTAGCGCTTCCCTTTTCAGTAGGTCTGTGGAGCTGAATGGATTCACTGCACTCAGGGATCAGTACATTGGGACGCCAGTGTCCACGCACTATCAGTACCTACCGCACCTTTTTAACTACTCGGCTCACTCGGCTCTGGTGCCCCCTCAGGCCCGAAGCCTGGATCCCCAGTCCCATGGGCTCATCAACCAGCTGGTGTCAGCTGAGGACCTGGAGCCGCTTGGCCACCGTGATACCCGTGTCCCTGCACGCGCCCGATGCGGGGAAGGGGTGCGGGTTAGGGTTACTGTGCGAACGCCCTGGAGTATTTGCCCCTCCGGAGCTTTGCTCGCGCAGGGATGATCCTGCGGGCGGTAGCCAAAGGGCTTGCCCCAGGCTCAGAGCCGAGACTGCGATGCTCATGTCTGATGTCACTAGGGCAATGGCTTGTCTGTCCTGGGCACGACACGGTGCACATCTCTGGAGTGCAGCCCCCGTGTCCTTTGTCCTGGGGAGAACAGCAGCAGCTTGCTACTCTTTCTGGTACCCAGGCCTGGAGGAGACTTGAGAGCAGAGCTGCTGGGAGCACGAGATGCTCACTAGTCTAGTTCAGTCAAAATTAGGGATGCACATGCCTGCTTCATTAGCAGACTGATTATATGGGGGCGGGCAGGGACGTGGGGCCCCCACACTGTGGGCAGGGGCCCAGCCTGGCTGTTTCCAGGCTCGTGCTGAGCTGCCGGCTCCCAGCCCTCCTGGGCTGGGAGCCAGGAGTCGGTGACCCCATGCAGTGCCGGAGGCACAGGGGGCTGCATACCAGGTAACCGGTTCCCCGTTCACATCCCTCGTCCAGAGCTGCAGGGATGGCGTTCTTTTCTGGGGAGGAGCATAGGGTAACGTCCTTGCTGTGCTGCGTGGGGGCCAGTGGCCAGTCTCTGTTCTCGCCACTGGATGACACTGGTCACCAGGAACCGGGACACATGCAGACGTTACCTTGTCCTCATGCCTTGGTGTTAATCCGGTTGTATGTTTTCCTGTTGACTGCCTGCAGGTACAAAGTGACTCAGGCAGAGCTGTTTGCGTTGCTGTGTCGTCTGGCAGACGAGTTGCTTTTCAGGCAGATTGCTTGGATTAAGAAACTGCCGTTCTTCTGTGAACTCTCAATCAAGGACTATACCTGCCTGCTCGGCTCCACATGGCAGGAGCTGATTCTGCTGTCCTCACTAACCGTGTACAGCAAACAGATCTTTGGCGACCTTGCTGATGTCACCTCCAAGTACTCTCCCTCGGAGGATGAGCTGCACAGGTGAGCTGGGGAGTAAATCTTCTGCGGGCCGTAGCAGCAATTAGAGGGGGTGCGGTGTTCCTCGCTCTGCTACGGACTCACTGTTTGTCCATGGGCAAATATCTCTGGCCAGGCCTACGGCAAAGGGGCAGGTCAAGTTAAGAGACACCACTCCGGCTTCGTTAATATCGTACCTTGTTCCGAGTTTCCCTGCCGCAGCGGGAGGCCGATGGGCGCGAACGCTCCCGTTGGATCCCTTTACCCCTCGCAGAAGCAGGCGTCCCCTCTCAGTTCGATTGAAGCCCTCTGAGTCGCGATGAAATTAAAGAACGGTGACCTTTAAACAACACGTTGGGGTGAAGCCACCCGTTTCCAGCTGTTTTAACCCCAGCAGCCAACAAAAGCTTGTTCCTGGGGCCTTGAGTGCAGCACATGCAGTAGCTATGCTGGGAGGGTGAGGAAGAGGAGCACTGGTTAGAGTAACCCTGCACGTTGCACAAAAAGGAACGTGGCACAAGACGGTACAGCTGTCCTCTCCAGTTCTCGTTTCGCCAGCGTCGTTCCTTTTCCTACGGACCTCCCCTCCTCCCCCCAGACAATGCGGATTTTTCCCAGCATTCAGAAGAAAAGCAGAGAGAGAACCTAGTGTCAGGGCCAGGTTTCCCATCGAAACCCTTCCTTTCTCCACCCTAGGGCTGAGAGGAGAGCCCATTGACGTGAGGAATTACCTAGGCTCAAAGAAACACGCTATAGAAATATTGTAAATAACCACACGGCACAAAATGACACAGACTTGGTCACACAGCTCCCCAGCTCGAAGCAGAGAGAAGAATTTGATCACACAGCTAGTGACCTTGTTTCCACTCTGTCGTGTTATTAATTGCCATTTCATTGTTTTTGATTGCATAAATTTAATGATGTTGCAACTTAGCTGACACCACGGAGGAAACAGCACTATCTGATGCTCCGCGGGGTGACCCGCCTTTAATTCATCATCTTGGTCAGTTTTCTTTCTTCTGTTGTCCAAGTCCCAGACTGAGCCTTGTTTGGATAGCCGAGATTGACAGCACCGTGACAAGACCTTTTCGGGATTTACTTAACTGGCCGCCCAGCCTCCCTGTTCAAGTTTGACCTACACCGGCTCTGCCCTTGCTGGAACTGGTCCTCATGCCATGGCCATCATGGGGTGCTAAATCTCAAGTGTCATAAGGACCCAGGGATCTCATAAAGACATCCAACGTGCAGCTGCAGCGAGTCGCCGCTCTGCACTTGCTCCTGAACGCCGGTTTGCTCGCCCTCCAGCTCTCCTCTCCGAGGCCCCGAAAGTTGACACGCGTATAAAATACGAGGCAGGCCCAAGCTGAAAGCGCGATGATAAAGGAGTTGTCGTAACCCTTCCGCCATGGGCAATTTCTAGCCTGCCGGTCTCAGGGGTGCTGTGGCAAAGATCTGTGGATCCATCCAAGCGGTACAAGGAGAGCTGGGTTTTGACAGGGGAACGGGTCCTCTTGTCTCCTTTACTGGCTCCGCATTTGAAGAGCTGAGAATGGAGTTAGCAACCAGAAGTGGAAATGTAGCGTGAGCAGGCCCTGGGGGAGGAAGGAGGGAGGCTGCGTGCGGTGCATGGCTAAGGGATCCACGCGGACAAGGGCCCACTGAGTCGGACAGTCATTTCTTTCAGGGCGTTTGACTTGCAGCTGGAATGTCCCCACGTAGCAGGGCGGCTGTTGTGTCGCAGTGAAGGTCTCACTAGCGCTCTCCTGTGTGCTCACGCCAGTGCATGCCTGGGTGCCCCCGACTGGCTCCTCCCTAGCTCTTCACTAACCAGTGAGCAAAAAAGTGCTTTTAGGAGTATTAAAAACGTTTTCCCTCCCCCAAAACGAGGCCGGGCCCTTGTGGTTTTTATCGGTCGTATTAATTGAAATGCACAGTGCAGCTTCCTCCTACACAGCCCCCCGCTGAGCCCTGGGACCTCACAAGAGTGGCAGAAAGCGGGGTTGCTGTCCCAGCCGCTGGCCACACCAAGCTGTGCTGCTCAGAGGGCCATTTGCACGCCAGGTTCATGTTGGCTTGACTGTCAGGCAGCTTTCCTGGCGGGGCCCCAGCGCCTGTTTACCATCTGCAGCGAGAGACCCCAGCGGCTGTCTCTTCGGAAGCAGGCACTAATGTCTTCGCTTCTGCGGCCCCCTCTCGCTGAAACGTAGATTCATTTGCTCTACTAGGGACGCTAACTGTCGGTTCCTCGAATAGTCAAGTAACTTCATGAATCCTTATCGGTTACTGGACTCTTCTATAGTCCTCGGGGGTGGGGCCGGCAGCCGGTGTGCTCCAGCCCCGATCCCAAGGAGTCCCCTGCCAGGCTGCGCGGGGGGCCAGGCGGGAGCTGGGCCACGAGGAGAGCCGGTTGAAAAATCAGCTCCCCTCACAGACCAGCTGCCTGTCACCCCGTGCTGCTGCCTCTGATAAAGAGGCAGCAGCAGGGCAGGGTGGCAGCAGCCCCTGTACAGGGGCAGGGGGAAATGTGTGTAGTCTACAGCATTAACCTACACGCTTTTATCGGTTAATCGACTGCACCGTTACATCCCTACTCTCTATGCACCCACATGACCCCGGTGAGTTCACTGGGATCGCCTGGGTGTAGGGAGGGTTTGGTGCGACCCGTTGGGCTCTCTTCACGGTAACGCTGTTCTTCGTAGTGAGTCTCTAATACTCGGAACTGGCTGCAGTACTTGGAGATGCAAGTTGTCCGCCAAATGCTGACTGAAGAGACTCTGGCACGTCGACGATTATCGTTTGTTTATGTTCCCGGGTAGCCCCATGGCTGCCGGTAGGTAGGTAGATTGAAAACAACTCTGATTGAAACTGCTGGCCAAGTGGTCTGTCTTCTGGGTGGAATGCTGCAGTCGACAGAGTCTATCAAAGTGCAAATAAAGCTCGTGGCTGCTGGCACGTTGTCCTGTGACTCCTGGCGGTGCGGGCCAGGAGTCAGTGGGTCTAAGCTGGGAGGCAGACGGCGTGTGGAGGAGTCGGTGCTTGGGAAGGACCAGGGCTGAGCAAAACAGAACAGCTTTGTTTGGGGAAGGGAGGAATGCACGGCTCAGAAACCCAAGCCCGTGGCACTGCAGGGCTGAGAAGAGCTCTCCTTGATTTATGGAAGTGACGAGGGGGTAGTAAAAATGTGCACACTCCAAAACCAATTAGACCCAGCAGAGGGTTGTGAATGGTCTTGTGCTCATTATCTGCATGAGCGTTGCAGTCTTGCACCTGCAGGATTTGTCATGTCAAGTCGAGAGCAAGAAAACGGTACGAGTTCAGATTAGCCGAGCAGGCTTTCATCGCGTACAATATTACTTCCCCAGAGAACTGACCCGAAGTTCAAACAGCTTGTTTTCTCTTCCCTGCGGCCCGGCTCCACCGTGCATTTTACAAATAACTTGGAAGTAAACAAATGCACATGCCAAAAGAAGAGGCTGTTCAGGGAAGGGGAGTTTATTCCTGCTCTGGTTTTGGTCAAACCCGGCTCGGGCTGTGCACTGGATCACGCCAGAACACACCGCTTGCTGCGCTCCTGAGCATGCCTGTCTCCCTGCGCAAGAGTCCTGCAGGGCGCTGTGTCTTTCGAAGTAGCCTATGGGGCTTCAAACCGCTTGTTGCTGGAATGGTGCCTGGCCACTGGCGCGGAGAGAGCGCCCCGAAATACACGTCAGCGAGGGCCTCGCAAATGTCACCCGTGTCCTCTCACTGTCTACTGTCCTGTTACCCAGGGACCTCTTGGACTGCTCCTGCAGAGCTACGGGATTCCTGCAAGACCAGGGCTCGTGACTGCAGCCCCAGCACTTCCGCCGGGTTCAGTCCCCTCAGCGTTAGCGGAGACTGCACTCCTCCCTCCCCATTCGCGAGCTGCGTGGGGAAGTAGTCTCGCTCTGAGACGGGCAGCTTGTAAGCAAGCCAGCCGGACCTTGTGTGTGTTCCGTTCTTGGCACGGGTTCAGCTGCTCCTCCTGACTCTGAAGCTGCCTGGACGTTCTGTGTCTCATGCATCACTCCCACCTTGGCACATCAGCGTCCGCTCACCTGCTAGCGTAGCGCCCGCCTCTGGAGCTTTGCTCGTCGGCCGAGCCCATTTGCCCTTCCTGGGCCGGTTCACTGGGGCGTGGGAGGCCCTGGAGCCCCCAGGACCAGATGGGTCAGAGAGATCAGCCGTGTCACCGGGAGCTGTGACGTGGCCACAGCACTGGCTGGCATGAGCTGTTCGGAGGGCAGGGGAGGGCTCATGGTAGCTAAGGGGCTGGTGCCGAGAAGGGGGGAGAGCGGGGAAGGTGAGTGGCTGCGGATGGGGTCCAGCGGGAAGCCTTCAGGCGTGGTGCTGTGGAGCGTGGTCAGTGAGGGCCCTGGACCCAGAGGGAAGGCCTGGGGTGCCCTGACCAGTCATCGGGTACTTGGCACCTACTGAACCTGGCAGGACACGCCTGGCTTTGCTCAGTCTGTCCCAAGAGGCGCAGCCGGGCAGAGGGGACAGTCTGGTCATTGCAGACTCCTCGCTGGGTTTCCACAGCAAAGCGTCCGAGAAGGATCAGCGGGAGGGCGTCCCTGACACGTGGGAGGTTTCCTGCCCCTGCCTGTGCCCCGCGTGGCACACGTGATGGCTGGCCCCCGGGAATAGTGAACGCTTAGAACATGGCTGGAATTCAGCTCCGTTTCACCAGGCTTCCTAGCTGGACTAGCGCAGTCGGTGGGCCCTGAAGTGGGGTAACGGTGACTGAGCGTGTCATACTCACTGTGCACAGCCCTGGGGCTGGTCTCCGGCGCCTCCCATTTCACAAGCTAGTGACTAGGGCTTCCCAGCCCCCCGGGCTAGAGAAACAGCCCCGCTTCAGCATGGGGCAAGGGAAGCACAGTAACCCGGCCAGCGCCCTGCAAGGGATCGCTCGCAGAGCCAGGATCCAAGCACCCGTTTCTCCCCGGCAGAGCAGCCTCAGCCCCACCTCCCTTAAAGGGGGATGTTCTGAAGCGCCTGTTGCCAGTCTTGCTTCTCGTGCCTGCTACCAGCAGACCTGAAGCGCCTGGGTCCCTGAATTCTCATGCCAGGCACCAAGGTCTGTCAGACACTGTCCAAGTTCAGCAAGTCACTAAGCCCCCTGCTCTCCCCTGTGTTCCCCGAGGTGAGCATCTGTCTCCCTTTCCTGCAGATTCAGTGAAGAGGGAATGGAGGTGATGGAACGGCTGATCTACCTCTACCGCAAATTTAACCAGCTGAAGGTCAGCAACGAGGAGTATGCGTGTATGAAAGCCATTAACTTCCTCAACCAAGGTGAGTGGCCAAAGGGGGAGGTCAGGAGGAAATGACTCGTCCATACGCCAGTCGGCCGTGGCTTCCTTTGGGTGATGGGAAGAGAGAGGGTCCAACCCCCCGTCCCAATGGACTCCTGTGAGGTGGGAGGTTTTGTTTGGCCCTGGCACAGTTCAAGCCACATGCAATGTGTGTTATTTCAGTCACCTCAATGAAGCAAGTGAAGAGGAAGAGAAAGGGCTCACTTTACTTAATCAATTCTAATGCCTTTAATCGTGGACACCAAGGCCAGTGCGTGCGTCACTTTAAATACGTACCTACTTCACCAGCAGCAGAGTCAGAACAGAGCAGAGTGACTGATGAAATCTTCCCAGATAAGACCTGACTGACTGATTCCCTACCAGCTGTTCTGGCAAACGTCTCACCGCACACAAGCGTGTGTCATCAGAAAACATTGCTGCTTGTGGCAGGAGGGTCTAGGCCACTTGGACCTCAGTGCCTCAGGAGCCAAATCAAAGATCAACATTACCCAAAAGAGCCACAGTTGTGTGAATTCACTCTGTGTGTGCGCACACTCATGTGCGACTGTGTGTGTGTGAGAGATTTAATTTTACTCTCCTGGCAAAATGACTGACCAAGTACAGTAAACTTCCGATAACCCAGCACCTTTAGGACCCAGGGAGTGCCGGATTATCAGATGTGCCGGAGTACCGGAAGGGGGGCTATGAGGGGTCTGCGGGAGGCAGGGAACTGCGCAGAGCGGGAGAGGGCGGCGCTGCGGGATCAACCCGGCAGCACCCCAGCTGCTCTTCCTCAAGTCAACCGCTGCTGAAACTGACCAGCGGCGGACTTGGGGAAGCTGGGGGCAGAGCAGCTCCAATTGTCCAGCTGGCCGGACTATCAGGAGTGCCGGACCACTGGATGCCGGACAATTGGAGTTTTACTGTATTACTGTGGCTAATAACCTAGTAAAAGCCTCCTGACTGGTTAATACATTAGATTGGGTTAATGATTAAATCAGTGTTTTAATATCACATGCCACACAGAGCTGTGGGAGGTGCATTAAAGAGCCACTTGTGTCTCACAGCCTCCGGCTGAGCGTCACTGGCCTAGTCACTTTAACCGTCGCAATCAAGGCAGCCAGTTAGCACCACTTCTTTCCAGTTTGTGTAGCTCTGCAAACTTGCGTGTGCCAAGGGTTTGCTCCCTTCCCTGGGTCTGGTTCCTGGAGTCTTCCTCTAAGCATTTCCCTTCACTCCGGGAAGGGGTTTTTTAAAGTGAGGAGTTGCTGTTTGTCCTTCAACCTAGTGCCTAAGGCAGGAATACGTGTGGGTACTGAGTGCCGCCTAATCCGAGTCGGATGACATCGGTGGCCCACACAGCACGTTAGAGCTGCCGTCCAACGCGGTTGCGAGACTCTTCCCGGTTCATAAAGCCAGCGCAAAAATACCGCGCCAGTGGTTCTGCTGCGGGGGGGTCACTGGCCTCACCTCTGTGACTCTGGCGTGCTGCAAGGCTTTGGAAGCGCCCGCTTCTTCAGGAGCCTGTGGGTGGCTTCCATCGGCTGCCGGGGTGTGAGTCCTGCGTCCGTGTGGTGCGGGGCTGGTGTTGCGCGGCCATGCAGCGCGTGACCACGACTGTGTGCGCATCAGTGAAAGAAGCTGCTGCCTGGCACAAGCCCACGAGGTGAGCGTCAAAAGCAGTTACATGAATGCGCAGCCCTGGAGTCTTCTGCCCGGCAAGGAAATCTCTGAACCCGCCTCTCCCAGGGGTTTGTGCTGGCACGTCAGGGGCGTCCCAGGCGCAGATTCCGGTTTGCTTCCCTGAGCGTTTCCTGCCGCGGGATGATGGACTCCGTTAGCTGTCTCCATTGTTTCCCCAAATGCATTTTCATTCACTTCCTGTCTTCCTTTATTTTTAGTTGGAGTTGGCAATTTTTTTGTGAAATACCTGAAAATGATTCAAGGTCAGCTCTTGGACAGCGAGTAAATGCTCCTTCCCTTGTACAGGATTTCTGAAGAACAATACTGAGCCTTGGACTTGCAGATTTTGCCTGTTCTTAATTTGTGGGGCCCCTTCCCATGACATCAAGTTGTAAAGAAATGTCATTGACTGCGCTGAAGTGCAAGCAAAGGGACTTTCCCGTCTCGTTAGGCTAGCGCTGAGACGTCTGCTTTGTCTTGGTGTCCATTGCTTGATGTACGATAGAGCTAAACTTTAAAATAAAAGCTTGGCCAGTTTAGAAGACCACATGGCATAATTCCTAAACCGACGACGCCTGGAATTACTGACTTGAACGCTTCCTAGAGAGCTGAGATGATGTAACTAGCATCAGCACGCTTCTGTCTGGAAAATACGACATTGCACCCCATGTAAGGTCTGGAAGCCGCGACACATGGCTACTTTGGAAAGAGAAAGAGATTTAAGGTTGCTCAAGCTGTTCTCTTCTGAGAGGTTCATGATCTCTGAGCATGAACAATTTAGGACTTTTTCCCTGTTCTCATCTGCCTCGTGTAGGAAAGGAAGATCTTGTGCCCACACAGCTAGGCTGATATGCATTCGGTCTGTCCTGGGGGAGGAGGGTGAAGTGTTAATCCAGCACTGGCTGGATCTGTCCAGTCAAGTCTCTGTCCAATAGCGTAGTGTGATTTAGGTAGGTGGTGTTGGACTGTGATTTCTCCTCCCATTTTACAGTTGCTGACTCGAATGGGGATGAGGATAAACATGAACCTGGTTCTGGTCTAGTGTTACAGCTGCTCCCAATCACTCACTACTTGTGTTTTCACTCAGACATTAGGGGCCTGACTAATACGTCCCAACTGGAGCAGTTGAATAAACGGTATTGGTACGTGTGCCAGGATTTTACGGAATACAAGTACCCACATCAGCCAAACCGCTTTCCGGATCTAATGATGTGTTTGCCCGAGATTCGATACATTGCAGGTGAGCTTTGCATCTCTTCGCCCAGCTGCACCCTGTGCAGCTCATGAAATCGCCTTTAAAGGAAACTTTTCTTTTTATCATTAAACTCCTACCGACTTGGCGGGACAGCAGTGCCATGGTGGGGCCTTCTCTGAGCCTCCCCCACAGCGTACCGTCCCTCCCTCCCACCCCACAGACACACACGTTCCACCCAGGGTACTAAAACGGGCTCTGGTTGTAATTTGGCCCAGTGGTGTCTGTATTTACCGATAGCGTTAAACTCCAGGTCTTAGGTCAGAGGGTGAGAAGGCATGTTCTTTACTTCAACGATCTTGGGCTCTTCTCAGTATCTTGATCAAAACCTCCTTAGGGTCTTGATACCAGACCCAGCTCTGAAGTGGCTTGTGTGCTGAACATATGTAGATGGTACAGGCCTCACTGAGTCTAGAGATGACTCTGTGGAGAAAATCACAATATAAAAGTCTAGCTAGGCTTGATGGATGTCCCCAGATCTGAACGTCCCTGGAGCTTGGGTCAGTGAAATCTGCATGCGAAATGTCCATCGCCGTGCACTGATGATTGGCTCGAGAGGTGTTGTTCCAGGGACTTCATGAGAACATTGGACATTTGTACACAAATATTAAAATAATGAAACAAAAGACAGGACTATGCAGCACTTTAAAGACTAACAAGATGGTTTATTAGATGATGAGCTTTCATGGGCCAGACCCACTTCCGCAGATCAAATTCTGGAAGAGAACTGGCACGACCATATATACCAAAGGATACAATGAAAAAAAAATGAAAAAATGTGAACACATTATAAAATTGACAAATCAGATTAGAACAGAAAGCGGGGTGAGGGGGAGGGCTAGTATCCATCACCCCTAGTATCATTATCTCATAGATACTAGCCCTTCCCCGACCCCTCCTTCTGTTCTAAATCTGATTTGTCAGTTTTATAATGTGTTCACTTTTTTTCATTGTATCCCTTTGGTATATATGGTCACGCCAATTCTCTTCCACTATTTGATCTGAGGAAGTGGGTCTGGCCCACGAAAGCTCATCATCTAATAAACCGTCTTGTTAGTCTTTAAAGTGCTGCATAGTCCTGTCTTCTGCTTCAGCGAGATCAGACTAACACGGCTACATCTCTATTACTATTAAAATAATGGGCATCGGCTAGTTGGGTTTGGGAATAAATGTCCTTCCATGGAGCATATCGATCCGAGTCTGTGGATCACCGTTCTCTGTCGCACCGGGCAGGGTTGCCCACTGGGAGCAGGTGGGCAGATCCCACACAACCTATTCACTGTGATTGACGGGGGGATTGGCAGAGGAGGCCTGTAGACTTTCCCATCTTCTATTGTGTATAGACTACATCTCTCTTTCGGCAGAGGGACATAAATTAGACACTTTGTAATTGCAAATGAAGCCGGGATTAGAATTTCCCACGCTTCATTTGCATAATTGTGTCATGGCGCTCTTTCGAAAAAGCGCTATTTCAAAATTGAAACCGCAGTCTAGACGCGGTTCTTTCGAAAACAGAAGCCTTTTTCAAAAGATACTGTAATAGACTACATCTCTCTTTCGGCAGAGGGACATAAATTAGACACTTTGTAATTGCAAATGAAGCCGGGATTAGAATTTCCCACGCTTCATTTGCATAATTGTGTCATGGCGCTCTTTCGAAAAAGCGCTATTTCAAAATTGAAACCGCAGTCTAGACGCGGTTCTTTCGAAAACAGAAGCCTTTTTCAAAAGATACTGTAGACATAGGCGCTCTTTCGAAAAAGCGCTATTTCAAAATTGAAACCGCAGTCTAGACGCGGTTCTTTCGAAAACAGAAGCCTTTTTCAAAAGATACTGTAAACGTACATCAGGTTACAGGATCTTTCGAAAAAGGCTTCTGTTTTCGAAAGAACCGCGTCTAGACTGCGGTTTCAATTTTGAAATAGCGCTTTTTCGAAAGAGCGCCATGATGAGATTATGCGAATGAAGCGTGGGAAATTCAAATCCCAACTTCCTTTGCAATTTCAAAGTGTCTAATTTACATCCCTCTGTCAAAAGCGGGATGTAGTCTAGACACACCCTTAATGTGCCCTCACTAGAAGATGTACCCGGTATTGCTCGGGTCCTTAACTCAAATAATTTTTAAAAACAAGTAGTTTGTGGCACCTTAGAGATTAGCAAAAGTACATGGATAGGATCATGAGTTTCCATAGGTAAAACCCTCTTCCTCAGATGAGTTGGAATAATAATACATTTTTGTGTTTTTTTCATGTGAATCCTCGCTTGGGGTGGGGCTGGGGTGGAGGGTTCAGGTGCAGGCTGCCTCAGGGAGAGAGGACAATCCCAGCCCCCTCTCACCACAGCAGCTTGGGACCTGGTGAGAAGTGTGTCTGCATGGCCGCTGCAGTGAGCACAGCCAGGGGAGGGGTGCATGTTCCCCAGGCTGGGGGACAGATGCACACAAATCGACTCTCTCTATAGTAGATAGCTGTCCCTTTCTCCACCCTGGGGGCTGTTTTCCCAGTGGCGTTATAGCTGTCCCAGTCCCCATCTCTGGCTCCTTGCTGCCCCCTGTGGTCGCTCTTCAGTATAACTGTCTCTCCTACCAGATCCCTCCCTTTCCATTTTGAGAACCAATCACATTCCTGGCACATCCTATTGTCCTGGCACAACCAAACCCCGACCTTGCTTTGTGTTAGGAGAAGAGGAAGCAGCGTACTGAATTTGGAGGTCCTAGCTCTTAACTATTTAGAGTTTAGCAGGAGTTCTTGAACAAATGGACTCTCAGACAGACGGGCAAAGTTGCTTATATGTGGGGAAATCATTTTCATCTGACTTCACCAGCTCGCTTAGCTTCTGTTCTACTATGTAAGACACCCCATTGTTTCCAAAAGAATAGCAAATGTGTAATGAAGGAATTGGGCGATTTACTGTTTGTCTAAATGGCTACAGTGAAACCGTCTCCAGGGTCACCCGCCTGGAGATGAGCATTTCTGAACTTTGGCTCTGGAATGGCAGCTCCTTCTTCTTCTTCCCTAACAGGAAAAATGGTGAATGTTCCTCTGCAGCAGCTGCCCCTCCTCTTTTCCAAAAGAATAGCAAATGTGTAATGAAGGAATTGGGCGATTTACTGTTTGTCTAAATGGCTACAGTGAAACCGTCTCCAGGGTCACCCGCCTGGAGATGAGCATTTCTGAACTTTGGCTCTGGAATGGCAGCTCCTTCTTCTTCTTCCCTAACAGGAAAAATGGTGAATGTTCCTCTGCAGCAGCTGCCCCTCCTCT